TGCTATTCGCTTGGCCCGAAACTTCTGGCGCCCGCGCCACAGGCGCCGGTAATTTGAGGTGTTTGGCGCCGGCGCCAGTAGCGTGAGCGCCAGGAGGTTTCGCGCCGAGCGGATGTGATATTCGTAATCAGGACGTCAAACTACCCATGGGACCATGTTTTCAGGTGATTTAGGGTAATTTGGCGCCGGCGCCTGTGGCGCGGGCGCCAGGTGGTTTCAAGACAAACGGATGTGATATTCATGTTAGGAGGTGGAACTACCCCAGAGACAAATTTTCAGCCATTTCCGTTCACGGAGAAAAAAGTCGGTCAAAAACTGGCCAGATTTCGGATGACTGGGGCAGTAAAGGGTAAATAGTGCCAATTTTTTCAAGTGAGGGGGAGGGCAAGAAGGTAGCTTGGTTTCCCTTTTGCTTGTGCCTTAGACGGGAACTAAACGGTGTCAACATCTTCTCTAAGTACTCATCAGAATTTGAGGAAAGTGAGCAAATTTCATAGTGTTGATTCACCAAGACAATTTCGAAGAACAGAAAAGCACAGATCGCCTTGGCGGGGGCATTTTGCTAACTCCGATGCCTCCTGTGGCAACCTGTAAATTCCTGTCAAGCTTCGTTAACACTTGACAACGGCCCACAAGTCCTACCAAGTTTAGACATGTAATTTAAAAGGAACTAACAAATGAAGCTAGTGGAAGTGCAAATGCCCCCTAAAGCGAACAGTGCCGAAAAATATACCAAGAAAGCAATGAATTGGTGGGATGAAGCGGACTGAACCTTGTGCACATAAAGGAGGCTAGAATTCATGCTCAAGCTCATTGATTCGAAAAATCCTTTAGTATTCAACAACTCGCCTCGTCTCGAATGCATTGGAAGTCTAGTTACAGTATAAGTCAACAAGTAACCAGCAGCTGTTAAAATCATGAGTTCGCAGGAGGGACCAGAGTTCGGAGATCCGAAGCAGTAATCAAGCAGCTGCTCAAGCTCTTCCCCCAGCAGTAAAAAAACCCTGTGGGTGGTATTTAATTAATAGTCAGACGTCTGAGCGAAGGAACCATTTGCATTCGATTAGGAGGGAAATGACGTGTTACCCTTGGAGCTGCCCCAGTTTTTCATGCTGAACTCCGCCCGAGGTTGCACTTGCAAGCGATTGCAAAAGAATGACGCAATCCTTGCCCTATAGGCTGCGGGCTTCTATAGATTAGGCTCGGATTCGTCCCTTCATCTGGTTTGCGGAAAATGGTTGGAGGGGCAAATGTTTATTAAACTCTAGAGTGTCCCCTCCCCAGACGAGTGGCGCTAAAGCTTGCACTGAAAATCTACAAGAGCAGATACAGAGCTGACCCATCCCAAACAGTTCGAGAGATAGCAGAAAAGCTAGGCGTTGGCAAATCCACTGTTGCAGATGGTCTGGAACGCATTGGGAAGGTGAAAAAACTCGCCCCACAATTTGAGTGACCGGCAGAAATTGGCACGTCTCGAGGTTTCCTCTTCACTGCTTTTGCGCAACAGAAACGACCCGTTTTTGAACCGAATTGTCACCTGTGATGAAAAGGAGATCATGTATGATAACAGGAGACGTTCCGGACAGTGGTTGGATTTCGACGAACCACCGAGGTAATTTTCAAAGCCGAACCCTCACGAAAAAAGATTCTGGTCACGGCTTGGTGGTCATCGGCTGGTGTGATCCACTATAACTTTTTATCACCAGGCCAAACCATCACAGCAGAACCCTACTGTGAAGGAATCGACGAATTGTACCGAAAATTTTGTCAGCTGCAGCCAACACTTATCAAAAGAAAGGGTCCGATTCTTTTGCATGACAACGCCCGCCCACACGTTTCACAAATCACTATCCATAAATTGAACGAATTGGGGTTGAAGTTCTACCTCACCCGCCATATTCTTCAGACCTTTCACCAACCGACTATCACCTTTTCAAACATTTTCAGAACTTCCTTGCTGGAAAATACTTCATCAATCAGGACCAGGCAAAAAAGCCTTCGTGGATTTCGTAGATTCTCGACCACCCAGTTTTTTTTTTCTTTGATGGGATTTCTCGACTGCTGTCACATTGGCAAAAGTGTGCTGATTCGAATGGTGCTTATTTGGATTAAATCCGATGAGTGTTAAGAAAGTTATGATCGTTTAAAGTGAAACACTCGAAACGTGCAGAACTTTCCAGACAACCTAATACATCATTAGTTGGAGTTCAAAATTTTTGAAAGTTTCTTTTCCTTTTCAAGAGATTTTCCTTCCGTGTTTTGTTGTTTTTCGTATTCTTTTCATTGCATTGGATGATACCCACTACTGGGAGATACGATAAAGGAAATTGTGAGCCAGGGGTTTCACAGGAAGGTGTGAGTTCCAGGGAGCAATTTTGTTTGTAGTGTTCTTGAGGACTCTCTTATTGTTTTTTTCTTCTTTGGGGAATTATTTATTATACTGTTTCATAATTGCAAAGCAACTATACTGTAGTTCTCTGCGGACGGTTGGGCGTGTCAGTGCGGCTGCGTTTGGCGCGGTGCCAAACTCGTTCTCCACCAGTTGTTGAAGCGGGCAAGTGACAATACTGTATCATATCCTTCGTATTACTCGTTTTCTACCACTTTTTGTCGCATGCGCGTTTCAACAAGAAGGCAGAGAACGGCTTCGACAGTGTGCCTGGCACGCCCAACCGTCCGAAGCGAACTAAAGTGTATCCATGACACTCTTATCGCGGGAGCTGTTTAACCCGAGACCATGCGCGGCAGCTTCACTACTCACAACATCGGATCGGAGATTTCCATCCCCTTCCACACTTCGCTGACGTTAGGGATCGTTTTGTGGGGGGAAACGAGGGGAGGGATTGTATCGAGTTTAATTCTCTGTGACACAGTGTTTGACTCTAGGCCAGGGCACATCATTAGTTGGGGTTTTTAGTCGTGTCTGTACGCACGATTCCACCCCGCCCCCCTTTTTTTCCCTGGCTCTGTCCCTCCTCAGGAGACAATACGACCCCCCCCATTCTACCAATTTTCAGATTTTCCCCAACTTCCTGCCACTTTTTCCAAAATTTCCCGAAAAGTTCCCTACTTTTCCCCAAAAATTTTGCTGTCGAGGGGGAGGGGGGTATATAGTACGCATGAAACAGGAAAATCACAAAAAGTCAACCACCGCTCCTACAACGCCAAAACGTAAATACGACCCCCTCCCCCCCTCTCCTGGCGTCCAAATACGCCCCCCTTTTGGGGATTCCCCAACAACGATGTGCCCTGCTGGGCGGGGAGTAACGGCGCTCCAGCGCAGTCTGCTTAGATTCGCAAGCAGAGCAAGTACGGTGAATCCACGCAGGCTAGTCTCGCTTGAATGAATTCGTTGAAGTTCTCGCTTGAATGAATTCGTTGAAGTATCTACCCTGTTCGTTCCTTTTATGCGATTGTACATTTGCATTGGTTGAGAAATATTGTGTTGGATTATTGTTGGAATTTAGCCGTAGTTGTATTGAAAGATTGGAATTACCTATTTTTAATTCGTTTTTTTGGGACTCTTTTAGTCGATCTATTCAAACCTATGTCGATCACAGCGCTGTCTTGCCTTATTGACGGTATTTTTGTTTTGATCGAGCACGGACCCCTAGGTCGGTATTTGGTCCACATTTCCACTGCTAGATCCGACCTTGAGGACAGGGGTGCCGATGGTGAATGTGGATGATTACAGATTGAGTTGATTGGGTTCAAAAAGGGTTATTGAGCAAAATGGGTTATTCAGAGGAGTTGTGGAACTCATGACATTTCCCTCGTTAGATCATCCCTGAGCCAGTTGTTCCCCTGGCTCACCATGGACAAGGGGCCCCGCCATGTACCCTTCTCCTCCCCACTCCGCTCACCAGCAGTTTTCAGGAAAATAATAATATTGAGGATATTTCAGGAGAAATAAGGGAAGATGGGGAAGAGGCGTCGTTTTAGAGGAGCAAGTTACGAAGGAAGGAGTCGTAAGTAAAGCTCCAGGGTAAGAGGTGAAAATAGCAGAGTATCCAGTGTGCAGTATCGAGTCAACTAGCAAGGAATACTTGCTGGTTCGCACGCGATGGCGCTCGTCGCATGTCCTAGCCTAGACTCATGTGGCGGTACAATCAGACTCACCGTTGAGACCTTTCATCTGATTCATTTTTGTCTTCTGAATCCATTTCATCTTCTACATTGTTCCTCGTTGTAATCGCTACTCTTCACTGCTCCTGCCGAACGAGGTTGTTGGATGAAACCATTTATTGGCCTGCTTCAAACCTCTCGCTTTCTCCCAAGGTCGAGGGTTGCGCATGTCTCGTCCTTCCCATCCTTAGGCAGCGTTCAGACTTCGCGATCTGATCTCTTAGATCGCGAAGTATGAACGCGCTTTCACAAGTATACATCATGAGCTACGCTTTGCACTGTGGGACCTTCGGCCTCAAAGATAACGCGTACATCGATACGTCAAGCCAGTGTTCAATCTAACAACCTTGTTTCGCACAAGTGATTAAAATCTGTCGGAGTTCGGCTTGGAGGGGGCATTTCGCTGGTTCCCGTTGATCACCTCCGTCCCTGTAGAGACTTGTGAATTTCTGTAAAGCCATGCAACAGAAGAAGCTTGTTTTACACTTGACAGGAGTCTTCATGTTTCACCAAGGTAAGTGGCGTAATTTAATAGGAAGTAGCAGGAGAGATTAGCAAACGAGCTAAATGCCCCTGCCAGGCCAAATAATGCCACAACTCTTTTTTAGCTGTCGGAGTTCTTCATTAGCGTTGTCGCTAGGTAACCTGGAAATGTTTTCTGAACGACTATAGAAAAACAATTGCAGGGTATACTGGGTAGAGCCTAATCAATGGCACGGAATTGACGTTGTTTGATGGTTCGTATGACGTCGCGCGCCTTGTGCGTTGTTGCGGTCCTCATCGTCTGTATTCCTCTATATTTGATCTTCAATCATTCTGATCATGGAGGAAGCTTCAGCAGTTATATCAATATCCAAACATTCGCAGAAGGTTTGTTCTTTCAACAGTTAGAGTCCGTTCACGTTTTGCGGCAGAGTTTTGAGCCAAAACCCCGGATCAATATCTTTGATTTCCTAGTCGTTCAATACGCTGACGCTAGCTATAAACGCACTCTTAACCTGCTTAATTACGTTGTTCAAGTTATCGTCACCATCAAAGTTTGGTACACTAGTCCAATGGAATTTATGAGCAAGTTTCATAAATTATATTTTTGATTGGATGGAAGGTCACTGTAAAATTCAGAATTTTGACTATATATGGATGAAGGGCCCTTAACAGCGCGCGCTTCTGTCTGTCCCCCAATATAGTGTGTTCTGTCTGCAAAACTATGCTTCTGTGACTCTGGTCGCCAGCGCTCTGAATCATGCCTCGATTGGGGGAAGTGACCCAGATGCGCATGCGCAGCCGAGTCTCCCCCCCCCCCCCTCGTCATCCGCACTGCCTTAGCTCCTGCGAAAGTTCTTCAGATGAACTATGACTCAGAATATTTCCTCCGGAGCGTTCCACTGAAACCAGACTGGTAGAATTTTTGAATTTCTTCATATGGTATAGTGTGTTTACAGAAGATTAAAGGCAGTTGGCGTGGTAAATCCTCAAGACGAGTAGGATTCAATACGCCTGGCAGGACGGAATTCCGCGACCCTGAGCAGGCGCTGCATAATGCCTTTTCCAAGAAAGGTGCCCTTATAAGGGCCCTATCAAGCCACAACATACCGACCCCAAACGCCCGCCCGCCCACAAATGGACGACCGTTCCTGACGCTCTAATCGATTCATTTGCTAAGCAAATTATGAAGCGAAGGGATTGGTATGAAGCGGCCGTGATGCTGCATGCATATATGGGTACACATATGCAGCCGTATCTTCGGTAGTATTGGCAAGATGCCTACGGGAAACTCGTCCGAAATCGATTTACAAGTCACTGAGAACGGAGGCTTTTTCTTCGCAGGATTTTGACCGTTTCACTCCGTTCTTTCGCCATTTCCCCACTATACAGCGCCCTACTAGCATTTTAGGCCGAGTTCCAAATCATCATGCCAACTGCCTCTAAAGGCAGTCCAACTGTTTGACAATTTTCTTTGCGCCATCTAAAAATTCCCTCAATGAAATGGTTCCCGATATTTTTGTATTTTGATATTTCTTATAATTGCTGTTTTTTTTTGTTCTCACCTGTTCGCTGATGTATGTTCAACAAGGGAATTGTAGATGACACGAATGAGAAGTCGTACGGTGTCATTATGGACGCAGGTTCTACGGGCACTCGACTCTTTTTGTATACCTGGACGAGCACCTCAGGTATGAATAAGCCACGTAAAGCACTAATTCGTTAATCTTTCATTCTACATAGAGCAACAGGCGCTAATGTAGCATATTTTTGAACTTTCACTAGGTTGTTGAGAGGGGGCAGAGCTCCGAGGTGGAATATTGTTCCTCAGAAAAGGAACTCTGCTATACCTGCGTCAAGCACACGTGCTCGGTGTAAATCTTGAACCACCTCTAGTTTTCGTTGTCTTCATTTATTCGTATATTCAAGGTTTTTATGGGTAATAAGCAGAGTCGAAAAGGCTGAAGTTGGGTACGGAAGTTCGTTTGCTCATGAAAGAAAAAAACAATATTTCCCGTTTCTTTAGATAAAGAACTAATCGATGTTGTTCCTGCACTCGATCATCTGAATAATCATGTAGTCAAGAAAGTGTATCCAGGGCTCAGTTTCTTCCATGATCGTCCCGAACAAGCTGCAGGTGATTCTTTCATGAAGTATCAGCGCTTACGGATGGATTCATCATGTGTATTTCAGAATACATAAAACCATTACTGGATTATGCATCACAGTTCATACCTCACGAGAAGTTGCCATACACACCTGTCTTTCTTTTGGCTACGGCTGGAATGCGACTCGTTCCTGCAAAGTTAGTTTTTTCCGGTTCTCGCTAGGTGATGGGACTTTCATCTTTGGCTTTTTTAGCGTTTAGATTGTGCTTCATTAAATTTCAGTGGTTTAGCAAGTTGTTCTCATAAAATTTTAAAGTCTATCGGTCATTCGAAAGCTCTGGCACAATTTCGGGGCCTTGTTCAGATTGGAGTTTGCTTCATCTGTAAACCAGCATCTTTTCAGGCAACAAGCTGCAATTCTAGCCGATCTTCACACAAAGTTGCCTCAAATGACACCGATGCAGGTATCGACTGTTTTTCTTTTCAAAATTAGAACATGCTAGTACCAAGTGTTGGTGTGATTGTTGAGGAGCAGGATTGGTGCCCTCAGAGGAATGATCCTTTTTTCCAAATTTGCGCACACTCGTACAAGTTCGTATGTAGAACGAGCTGATGACAGTGTGCGGAGTCGCGACCGTGTAATTTCTGTGTAAACAAATCGCGCCATTCCTAGATGCGAGGAAAGTTAAGTCTGGCGGGGCAAATGGTACTGAGGGAAGCCTGTACACAAGACCATGTGGAAACTGAATTCTGGCAACCAAAGTGGCTCGCTTGAAGCATCTGGCGGTTTCACAAAAGTTGACAGGTCTGACCGAATTGAGACCTGTTGATGTGAACTGGCAAAAGAGAAGTAGCGAAAGTGCCAGATGCCCTTCCTAAACGAACAGCCCAAGCGTAAATGGCCTGAGAGCCGTATACTGATATTAGGAATCGATATAAAAGTGGTGGTCGTCTAATGAAGCCTTAACACTGACATTTGTTATACAGTTAAATGATTTAGTGGCCTTAATTGCGTGCCTCTTTCAGATTATGAAGGAGCATATAAGAGTTATCGAAGGCAAATGGGAGGGCATTTATAGCTGGATCGCTGTGAACTATATCCTAGGTAAGGATTCGCAGGTTTCCTTGAAGTCTTTGTTAACATTTCCCAACAGGCATCGTTATTTCTTAATTAGATATTGAAATTTTTTTAGGTAAATTCAAGATAAAGAATGGTTCCGTTACTTCGCGGCCGGATACGGTGGGAATGATTGACATGGGAGGTGCAAGCATGCAAATTGCATTCGAAATGCCACCAAAGGACGAATTTCGCAGTGAAAATGTAGAAAATGTACTCATTCCATCGTTGCTATTCTATGTTCTATCACAGTTTTTGCCCCATGTTTTCCTTCTTCGACCCCAATCGTCTCTGTGTAATTGTTATCATCCCAGCAAAGGATAGCGCGTGTGACGGGGCAACGATTGGAGCGCTATCAAGACGGTTTATTCACCACTGATGCCATCTAGTCCGAACAAATTGGCAGGAAATGGAACCCTGGCCACTTCCCTTAGCATGCAGTATCGTTTTAAGGTTTAATGACTATCTCCAAGTGCAAGGCGAGCGCCGGTTAGCGTGCCTAACTGAGGGAGGTTGCTCCTGCCGCGGTGCATCAAGAGAGTGGGTGAAATGGCGGAGTCAGCACGATGGCTCTGTCTCAACTGCAACTGAATGGTGCATCCCGGATAGCCCTCCAACCATATGATAGGCCCTGCTTCTTAATCTTGCGCTTATGGTTCTCTGCAAACCTGATTTTACGCCCTGCGCCCTTACCTACTTCACTCATGTAGCCTTTAGTAGTAGACAATAATAGCCTTTTATTTAGGTCAACCTTGGCTGCCGTGACGATGACGACAGGCACAAGTACAAACTTTTTGTCACAACGTTCTTAGGCTATGGCGTCAACGAAGGTAATTTCAGTGATCCGATATCAAGCTGTTATGCAAGTAGATGGGAAATGAGATCCAGCTCTTAGGGATCTGAGAGTCAGAAAATTTTTAGGTATTGGCAAAGGCTGAGGTGCGGGCTTGGTTCCTGCCTGGAGTCAGGTTTTTTGCCCATAAGTCAAAAACCTCGCAATAACTTCCGCAGCGCCTACTAAAGCGATTTCAAAGCAAACCATCTCGGCTACCTGCAAAAATTTCGCTTCATGTTAAGGCCTTCGAAAGTACGAGCAACAGCTAAGCGATCAGCTCTTGTCGACCAAGGAGAGCTATGTTAGAGATGAGTGTATGCCTGTTAATCTGCAGAAGGTGATCAATCGAAGCGATGGTTCAATGTTTGTACGAAAGGTATTGATTAGATCTGAAGTATTTGAGGTTGCCAAATTTGCAGTATCAGAAAATTTTCCTCTCCTCTCTAGGGAGATTCGGCACGCAAATTGTTTGAAGTAGCGAAATTTAAGATTGACCTTACAGTGAATGAAGCAAATATATTTTCAAGGGAATCGGAGACTGGGAAGGATGTGTTAAACGACTGTCAAATTTACTTACAAGACCCTATGTGCATCCAAAATCTCTCTGTAGACCGAACTGCTTCTTGGGAAATGTTGCTGCTCCGATGGTTTGTGTCATCACAATTACGCTTCCATGACTGTTTCCCTCATTAGGGGACTTTCCAGGTTTCCCTCTCCAGTATGACATTGTATGGATTCTCTGAATACTGGTATTCTCTCGATGAAGTGTTGTCGCTTGGTGGACGCTACAATTATACCCTAATCGCTGAGAAGTCGAAACAGTACTGTTCGCAACGGTGGTCAGCCATACAGGTTTGCTTTCATACTTATTTATTCAAATATGCTGCACAGATATTGTTCGCCGTTGAAAGCTTGTTTTTCAAAACCATCTGTTGTATTGGGAAGCTCCTCTTGGGGGTTGTTGATTTAACAAAGATTAAGAACCCGTTCCGGTGGTAACGATATTTGTAGAGCTCTCTTGCCTGTCTCTACTTTAAAAAAGTCCGTCCTATTTGTGGATCTTCTGGGGGTTGGACTTAGTCGATAAGGGAAGTGTCGTACTCAGTTGAGAGAAGTCCTTGCTGATTGTGTTTTTTTTCCTTTTGCCCACTTTATAATCCACAATTAGCGGTGCTGCGTTGCAAAGCTTCTGTTTTTTGATAGTTGTTAGGGAGACCCCTCCCGTTCGAAGGCAAGTTTTTGGGGAAGATTAGTGAGAAGGTTGGTCATTTAGAGAACTCCATCTTATAGTATGTCCTCTGTTTATACTTTGTATACTATACATGTTAATGGGCGCGTAACTTATGGAATATGAATACTTTATTTTCATTTCTTTTTCTTATACTTGTCTTTACCAGGCTGCTGCACGGCGGAAACTGTATCCCAAATCGAACGAAGATCGCTTGAAATCGCAGTGCTTTAAGTCAGCTTGGATTGCAGCAGTACTACATGAAGGGTTCGCGGTTGACAAGGAGCACAACAATTTTCAGGTAGGCTATTTGTTTTTTCGCCAACTCGACAACTTCTCAAATGGGGGGGGGGTGACCGCACGAAAATAACATAAACGTTGTGGCAAGTGTTGTATGCTATCCTTGTGCTCCAAGAAGACCTTTGAGCTCTCTCATTAACTGCTTAATCCCCATGTTTTAGACTACGTTCAACATTGCTGGTCAAGAAGTTCAGTGGGCGCTCGGCGCGATGATTTACCACATGCGTTACTTCCCTCTGCGTAACAGTGCAACCAACTTGGTAGTGAGCAAGTGAGTGAAATGCTTTTTCATTCAACCCCTCACCGGTCTCTAATTTCGCTTTTCAGACATCCCCAGGACACTTCATTACCGTCGTCGTTCTCCCTCTGGCTACTGATGGGTGCCATGATTGTCCTTGTAGCAGCGTTTGCCTTGTTCATTCTCAAAGAAGACATATCGACTGGTATGAGGCGGAATCGGTCCATTTGGAGCTACATGATGCTGAACTCGAGTGATTCAACAAGTCTGTCTTCCTTTCGTTCGGTCGGCTATGCGTAGGGTGTTAAGATGTATTACACGTAATTTGAAAAGTGCAAAATTCCGTAGATCCAGACGTCTCCTCATTAGTAGTCGTCCAATGGTCATTTAGATCCTTTTTTTGCTCAACAGTTTGTGCATTTCTTTGGGGTTTCTAGATGCCTTGCTCTCCTGTGATAAACGAAACGACATGTGGGATATATGATGTGGCCAACGTTGGTCTTGCTGTTGAATTTTTGGGTTGGTGACGAGTTTTTATCCGTTTTTAATTGTGTTCAATACGAAGAGGAAGACTGAGAGTCGAATTCGCTGTCGATCTGTTGTCCATTGTGGTAGTATAGCATTAAGTAGAGTAGTATTTATTTATTTACGTCGCCATATACTCGTTTCAGAATTGAGATGTGAACGGCCTCCATTTCTCGTCTTGTCTTTTTCCCATGCATCTGCTAAGCGTTTATACTTTGCGTCAGCGTTTTGGGCGCTTGGAGCGTACGCCAGCGTTCTCGGCGACTGCGCACGAAAAGCTCGAAACTGCCTGCGAAATGCAGGCTGACGCTCAAAACGCTAGATCGATTTCTATATTTTTCTAGTAACTAAACGCTGGCGTACGCTCGAAATGCTCACGCGAAGTATGAGCGCAGTAATAGCCATTGTTAATGCCCTCCCAATTCGCTGGGGAATGATGAAAGCTTGAAGACCAAGCTTTATCCACAAGTGTCCCTCTCTTACTGTGCCCAAACATATCGGTTGTACTGTTACAGTGTCAGATCGCTCCGTCATGATTATTCTCGCGAAGGAATTGCGTCAGGTTTCATATAGGTCATACAGAACTCTTTCATTATGTTTACTGCTTCAGTTAACTATTTGGCGATGTATTACCCCATTCTGTGGTGATTGTATAGGTGAGCAAACAATTCTAACAGGATACTGTTTCACATTATGTGCCTATTTTATTGTTAACTTTGGTTGTAATAGTGGATTTTTAACGGCTACGGGTGTAACTGTGATAAGTAACACTATATTTATGTTCAAAAAAATAAATGAATTGATTTAAGAGCTATCGCATAGTGGGGACGTGTTGACGTTCTTTTGATATCAGAGAACAATATTTGTTGAGGTTGGGTTCATATAATTCGTGGAAAGTGCACGTTTTACTGATGGGCGGGGTCAGCCGGTCTCCGCCTAACCCTTTGTCACCAATTCTAGGTTTACAATCATGTCGTTATCGAAAATCTTTGTCGAAGACTATTCCAAGATATTGGCTAACCCTCGGTGCGACTCCCACCTATGGCTTTTAACTTACTTACATTACTTACTTACTTACTTGACTTACTAAAACTTCCCCAAAAATGTACGCTGAACGGGGTGGGGATACAGAGCTAGCTAAAAAACCGGAAAAAATATTCAAGGCAGCGAAAAAATTCTTTCGAAGGCTTCTCGTACGCTCGTCCCCCACCCCCTCCCCCACCCCCACCCTCATTGTTCGTTCTGGTAAGCCCACTGTCCGCGTCTACGAGACCTGCAGAAGCTCTTCCTTTGGCAAGGTAGCTCAGGTCTTAATCGCAGTTAATACACCAGTTCGTGGCTCCAGAGTGTTTGATAAGAACGCAAGAGATCTCTAGTGAGTGTCGGCTCCCGCCTAGGGAGACGAACTCCTTCCTTTTCATTTTATTGTTGCATGGTGGTTGCGTTCTCCCTTGTCTGTTTTCTGTTTGTCCGTTTCGTCCCCGGTTGTCTTTCGCACGCTTACTGATCCTTCCCTGCATCCTCGTACGCGCTTAAACCTAAGTTGTAGGGATTTTCTTTGAGACGTTTTCTCCATTTATTTTGTTTTTTCTTCGCTGATAACCCGACTTTCACATTTTGTATCTGAGCCCGGCTGTCCACGCTTTACGTTCGCGGATTGTGTCCTTAAGAGGCAAATTGCTTGCTTTTGCAGTTGTGGCCCCAGGTATTCCTAATGCAGAAGTGACTGGCAGTGGGATTATGCATGTCATATCGCACATATTACAAGCCCCTTTTTCATCTTTTAGTTTATTGTTAGTACATAGGCTCCATGTCCTTGAAATGGAGTAGGCGTGGCCGCGTGCTTTATTTGAATGTGGCGACGGTCGCAGAAAACATAGCCACTTGCTCCCCAAATAATGGGTGGCCGCGCCCACCTTACCGCAGGATGTGGAGTGCTATAAAAAAGTACAGCCATCCAAATGATTCATTCAGAATGGTGGTTTATCTTGTTCTGGAGCCGAGCGCAGTTGTCCACCAGGAAGGGCAAATTGACAAAAGGAATTCGCTCTATCTGCAAATTTCGAAGGAGATCCTACGATGCCTATCCAATCGAAACAAGGAGTTGAAAGTAGAAGTGGTAATCATACAGAATTCTTTTGGAAAAAGAAGCACTTATGGCCACTGGAATGGTACTGCCTTTCTTTTTTCAGTATTGGGGCAACACTGTGTGCGTCCGTTCAACAGCTGTGAATGAAGAAATGGCTTTGGCCATTGAAAAAGCTATCGCGTGAGTGTTCTTTCTGAAACAGTTGCCTCTCAGAAATGCTAAATAGCGCGATCATAGTGAATACCAAACCTGATGGTACAAATGAGGCATTTCTAGGTGGGGGGGGGGGTTGTGTCCGCGAAAAGGGCTAGATACATATTCATTTGGAGAGCTGGATTACCGAATTTGTACTTGATAGAACTTGGTAAACTGGGGTTTTGCAAGGGAAAGCGGCCACCCTACGTAAAGAAAAACAGTCAAACCGTTTTTCGGATGTATCGTATGGCGCGATTACGGTCTTGTTCGCTCCGGACGCTTGGACATTTTAGACGAGGCCGAGTTTGGCGCGGCGCCAACCAGTTTTCCACCCGATTGTGGTCGCATGCCAGCTTTCACAATTGGTGGAGAACGAGCTGACGTTGCGCCAAACCTAGATCTGTTAAAAAGCCCCAAACCCAGATCTGTTAAAAAGCCCCAGCGTCAAGAGCGAACAAGACTGTCACTTCGTTCCATTTTGACTTTTCGTTTTTTCCACAACGTGGCCTATGAGCACGACTCAAGTGGTTAGAAAACGTGAAAAGAAAGATTCAGCATTTCTTGCATCGTACCTGCTCGATTCTGTTGTAGGTCAAACAAAGGAAACCTCCACCTAGGCCAGCTTTTCGACAAAATACGACCCAAAATGAAACGCGACGACGCAGTGGTGCTTCTTACCGATGCTGCCATGTTCAGGGTAAGTGAGTAACTTTCGCGTTACCCTCTACAATCACTTCTTTCGATAAGTTTTTCAGGGTGACATTACGTCTTATCCGCTCGGTATTATGTTTGCTGTGGTCGTAGATGTGACAGCGACGAATACTGATCAGATAGCCGAATTAAACGAGCTAGTAACCACATCAAATTCCGATCTGGTACGCCGTTACTTTCTGTAAATTTTATCTCTCGCTTTTGGGAGGAATGTGGTTATTCCTAACAATCCTGCCATATTTCTGACCTTACTGACTTTCCTCTAATTCTTGCCACTTTTCCAAAAAAATCAGTTTTGAGCCGGGAGAAGCGGTAGATGGAGGAGGGCCACCATCTGTCATCTTCAAAGTAGCGAAAGTAGTCGCTGAAACTTTGGTGACGTTTTTTCGGAACTTCTAAAGGCAATTTCTAGAGTCGTGTTTGACCTCTCTGCCAACGACGAGCAAATACAACGCCCCACTCCCCTCCCCCACTGGAATTCTCCTAGACGTAGATAGCGCGCATGAAACAGGAACCGCCCGATCTACGCGCTCTGCCATTTTAAAGCGTTTTGTGGACTCCTGTAAAGCTGTGAAGCGATAACGATCGGTCCAGGAGATGAAGATTTTCGCTGAAGCTTGGGTTGGGGAAGCTCCAGCTGGAGTAAAACAGTTCAGTTGTGCAAAAAATGCTCGAATACGAAACTGCTACCCTCCTCCCCCTCCCTGAGCGGAACCGCACTCATACATTGATACAAAAATGCTGTTGGTGTTGGTCAGCACTGAGCCGAATCAATTTTACTTTACAGCTCTCCAGTGCTAACTCAAAACAGTGGCTGCTACGGTATTCTGACTATAACGATGTGAGCGTTCTTGTTGGTGAACTGATGAAATCGCTGTTGGAACCTGATTCCACCACATTGTATGTGGGCAACTTAGTCGCGTCTGTGTCGGTGAGTTTAAGGGAGATGTTGTCATTCTTCACGAACAGTTTTGAATTTCAGCTGCATCCATCTGCGGGACGCGACAATCCTGAGTGTATCGAAGTCATTGGGTTTGTTCGTTCAGCTAATATGGTGAACATTCCTGTGGATGGAGTTCAGTTCATCACACTTTCACCTGATCGAACACCTAGTGAGTTTTCTAGAACATAGCTCTTATAGTTCGAAGTCCAAGAACAAAGCGCCAGCATGTTTTGAGCTGATGTTCGCAGTCTTTTCCTATCCTTCAAGGATAGTGAGCCAGCATAGCCTCCGTGGTCACACTGCAGCTTCGAAAAGTGTATTATTTCCCTGTCGCTCATAAAAATAACCCAATTTCGGGGTTGTTACACTGAGCCAGTGTTCATACTTCACGATTCGAGCGATCCAGCTGCGCGACAAGGAGATCGCGCTCCCTCGCTAATCGTTGGACCGCTGCAACTCACAACTTATTAGCGTCTTGCCTAATTTTTCCCATTCCTAAGAATCCTTTCTCCAGGTGAGGTAGGACCCTTGCAGCTCAGAAAGGGTTCCCTTTTGTGGTTTCTACAACGGTGAATACGAAAACGATGAAAGATAAGGACCTACACACCAAGTGGTACGCCGAATTATTGAGTCTAGCTGTGTGGACCTTATAAAGTGCAGCGACTTCCTTAACATCACTTAGGCTGCGTTCATACTTTGCGGCAGTGTCACCAGCGTCCACCAGCGTGCATCAGCGACTAACAGCAGACTGCTGGTAGTGAGTTACGGTTCGATAGGAGGGCTACCAGCCTGTCTGCCTATCTCCGTATCGCGCCATGATTTCAATCTTGGACAGGT